AAAACCTGAACTTCAATTTGTTTTTGATCGTCGAAAACGTTCTCGGACCAAACTTTGCCGCCATATTTGCCTCGTATTTCGTTTGAAGAGAAACAAAACGCAACGATTTCGCACGCTAACGCGCCAATGCGATCGGATATTTTGCGGTAACGGCAAAGTCGAAAATTCCCCCGGGGGCGCCGGCGCCTACGCGCGCAGCAGATAATATATACGTGCACGCGTGCGGGTATAATATTACGACTCGCGGAGCATAATCACTGCAAAGTTGTCAAAACTCCTCCGCGCTCCTCGTTTTATCAAAACGCAGACCCGCGGTGTGGCGGTCGCGGAGGAGGATGTTTCCGCCGCGGACCGAATGTCGCGCGTCTCCGCTTCTGATTTTCCTTACTAAATACACGAATAGTGAAATTCCCCGGCACAAATATATTATGTATACGAAATACGCGCTACGGCGAGGTGAAACGACTAAAAAAATACACGTGCGAATTCACGTCTCACCGAATAACAAAAAAAAAAATACGTCGCAAATACACACGATATCCGGTTAACAAGTAGAAAACTGCAATGCGCCGCCGTACGCGCTTTTATCGAATTGTCTCGCGCGAGGCTTATCGTCTATCGTGCATTTCAAACGCAGTGCCCGTGCGTTGTCAGAAACGAATAAAAAACAAAATACATACAGAACGCCGGTTCGACATAAGTGTATACGATACTTGTTTATCGACGAGCAAGTACTTGGACGCGTTTTTTTTTTTTTAAATTTAATTTCGCAAAAAAAAAAAATTCACTACGCGGAAACCGTCGAGAACGTATCGCGTAACATCCGGACGGATAACGCGTCGGTGTTCGTCCGTACTCTCGCGGCCGCACGGCCGTTGTTTCTGTTATTCGCCCACGCCGGGACGCGTGAAATTCTCCCCCGGCGCGCCGACGGATCGTCTTCGGTAATCACGGTCGCAACGCAGTACAATGCGTTTTAATCGGTTCCCGTTAACAAACGGACCCGGGGTACACGTCTCTGCACGTGTCGCGCACAACAATCCAGCTATTCGCATCCGGTCTACGCGTTCCCGGGTTTCTCGTTGGCCCGCCATTGTCGTCTCCGTCGGACTGCGCGCTGGCGGGTTCGCGAGGCTTTACGCGTTTTCTTTGTTCCGTGTACATGACAAGACGCAGCACGCTAGAACGGCACGGGAACGTTAATTCCGCATAACCGCCGGGCCCGGCGGTTCTTCCCCGTAATGCGGATCAACGTTTGAATGCTCAAGGTTCGGCACGGTTTTGGAGTGCGCCCGCGGTACATTTGTTTAATGCGTGTCGCCGGTGCCAGAAAAGCGCGCGAAAAACCGATTTCCGCGTTTTCCGGGCCGATCGAACACCGTTTACGCGCACGTCCGACCTTAACCGGTGTCCGGTATAACGCAAACGTTTTTACCAACAGAAAAACGCTTTTGCGGTGTTTTACTATTTTTAAGGATCTTCTCCTTCGGAGTAAAAAACACGCAGTAGTAAAAGCTAATAAGACCGCGCCGTCGTTCGTACGGACTTTCAATAATGTCAATTAGATGTTTGCAGATTCCAATATAATCCGTTTCTAACGTCGGTCTTTCGCGTATTTTTCGACTGCGCTATTTTATCTCATTCACAGTCCCCCGCAGATCCTTGCCTAGTTCTTTTCCAGAATTTTCAGAATTAATGAATTTGGGCCTTTCTGGGCGACACCTTGCCCATCAAAGTCTACTTTTACGTGCCATCCTTAATTCTAGTTCGATAAAATTACGCGGAATAATTACAATACGTAGGAATGATTGTAAAAGAACAGAATGGACCGGCGGAGTAAATAAAATCAGAGAATTCAGTCTGGAATTAAATGTTTGAAGCTGTTACGATCGCAATCTCTATCGACATAGTATCTAAAGAAATTCAACCGTATAATATAATACTTTAATACGATCAATTTTTATAGAGACTTGGCTAGTGAGGAAAATCGAAAAAAAAAACAAACCTCTTATATTTGGAGAGAAAATTTTGAAAAACACATTCGGAACAGTAAAAATAACCGAGAGACCAATGAGTAGATGAGAAGTAAAGATAGAACATGATGCATTAAGTGTATCAGAAACCAAACGTCATCGTAAAAGCCACCACTAGTGTATGCGTAAGAACTAAGGAATGACACGATCTAACAACACATTTTTAATACCTGTATGGCTATCAGTTGTCAACACCTGTGTATCGATAATTTTTAAAGTTTTTTCGTTTTTGCTTTTTGTAACCTTATTTAGACAATCGAAAACTTAAATTTCTGTTACTCGTAACAAATCAACCAGTTGGAAAAAAACGTTTTGGTCTTTTTAGGATGTAACAATAATTTCTTCGTGTCGGAAAAAAAAAAAAAAAACGAAAGTTAAATCTACTTCGCGAATCGACGTTGTTCGTCGATTTACGTTCGAGCTTTTTTTTTCACACAAATAAAATCCTAAAATACGGAAAACGATTTGCGAGCGGAATCGCTGTACCGAGAATATTATGTTTGTACACATACATGTAATTATACAATATTTTTTTTTTCGATATGTGTAAACCGACCGACCGATACAATAGACAAACGAAAACCGAAAACAATACGTGCATAATATTATATTATTTTTTTTTTTTTAATTTTTGCGTCTCGATCGTCATAATTTTAACGCGTGTATTTTGTTTTTTTTCTCGTATCTGTATTCGTCTGTATAACAATATCGTTACGTATTCGAGTAGATGCCGCGATGATAAACGTTATTCCGTATAAACGTATATAAATTTATTGTAACGCCGTTTCTGAGACGGCACCAGCTGGCCGTATTCTAAATTCGCGATTTGTTTACGGCGTGTACCTACCGCGTACACGCGTTGCACACCTCGCGAATGTGTTTAATTTCGTTTTCCGGCGGGGCGGGGGCGTTTTATCATACAATAACGTAAGCGCGGTACGCACGACGGAATGCGAACAATAACAATAATAATAATAATAATAATAATAATAAAGCAGAGCGTACGGCCGGACGGGCGAAACGGGGTGTGTGTGTGTTGGTGTGTGTGTGTGGGGGGGGNGGGGGGGGGGGGGGGGGTGCGATGGCAAGGTCGCCCGCCCGGAGAATTAATAAAGAAGAAAAGAATGGAAACACGAATAATAACGCGAGTCGAAAGGGAATAAATCAACGGGGGTTCGCGTCTTTTTCGCGCGGGGTTCCGAGGAATTGTAACGCGAGACACGTATTGCCTGCACGGGCCCGATCGAGTACTCTTCCGACCGACATTCGCTTTTCCGGAGAAACCGGCTTTGTACAACGGCTCCCGCCCGCGCAGAAAAACAAAACGCAAGTTAGCGTCTCTGGGTCAGTTTTCGTATTTTCGTCGTACGACGACAACTCGCTAGGGGTAACCGTAAATAAACGAACAAAAAAAAAAAAAACATTCGTCGACTTTATGTAACAGTACTCGCGGAAACCTTAACTTGGTTCGGGTGCATTTTATGTGAATCGGTTTTAAAGGTACACGCGAATGCGTTGAGTTATACTAATTAATTAAGTTCGTTTTCAACGAATAAACGCGTAACAATGAATCATAATCGAACGGTTTGTTTTATTTTCTGATTTTCACTCGATTCCCATAAAACATCAATGAATCAATCGACCAAATTTTTCATTTCTATTGAGCCGCGTAATACTTTTTGACTTTGTGATTTTACCTGACGATGGATTTTTATCTCGAACCAGTGGTACAATACACATTTCGTAATACTCCACGCGAATTTATTTATTTATTTATTAACATATGTTTCCTTTTTACTGTTGAAAACCAACGTACACCATACGCGTTCAAATATTTCGCCTGACCTTCTTGAGATTTGTGCAAATATAATGGCTTACAGGAGAATGCAATCAATTGATTTCATTGCATTGTAGGTACAGCCAAGTTGCCTTTTACTGTAGTCCAATGTGATTCTCAGAATGTAAACTGCTCGACCTGATTTTGCACACGTATTGTAAAAAATTCACTGTAACTTAAATAAATAAATGTTTTACTTTGATTTCGAACAATAATAAGCAAATACAAATAATATTATAACAAGATTCACATCCCTTTCGTTTGAAAAAAAAAAAAAAGTGTTTTATAAACGTGCATATTTTATTAATAAAAGATCACGGTATGAAGAAATCGCATATATTCGGGGACTTGGGAAGAGGGCGATTTAGTATTAAAGGAGGATGATAAGTGTTAGGGACTCTGTTATTCTTGTGTTTAAGTTTGTTAATTATTAATTGATATTTCCAGGCGACAAGATATGAAATCGATCGTCGCATTAAGTGTACGTACGTAAGGGCCATTAATACGGGTGTGGTAAACCGACGACGTTCCCGTGCAACAACGGATGTACGTGTTCATCGGCTAAAGGGAAAACGTGTCCGGGCTCAGACGACGTGCCACCAGCAGACGACGACGGCAACGTCCATCACTACCTAAGCCCTAATAGAAGCGACAAAAATTGTATATAAGGAGACCGGGATCTTCATCAAGAGACAGTTTATCTCAGGGAGGAGTCAAGACGGATACACCACCATTGAAACTCGAGAAGCACCGTTACCTCGACGTCAACCCGTCAGTCATTTCTATAGTGTACTATACCTGATAATTACAACTAAGTATTGACCCGGATCTAGTGTCGGACGGTTTTCACTTATAATTATATATTGTTAACCGTTTTTTGTATAAATTCTAATGAAACCCATTTGTAAACCTAAACGCACTTGTACATCTTCCCATCAAAAGGCTGTGTCAGCATGGTCCGTAATATAAGACTCAATAGGCAATTTGGGAAGTTTAGAACTACTGACAGAAAGTTCCCTAAGGGAACTTATCAATAAAAAAAAAGTAGGAATTTAAAGAAGAGTTGTTTTAGGTATATACGATACAGAATGGGTTAGAATTGACATTGACAAGAGAAGATTCACAAGGAGTTAATTTTTTGAATGCATGCCAGACATCTGTTGAGAATGCAGATCGTCCGCCTTTGAAGCAAGTCGAATTTGGGAGAGATAAGGGGCTCCGTTTCTATATCTGACAGCAATGTTGTGTTCACCCTTTTTTCTTCGCTCATCGAGGTTACTATAGATGCGGTGACTTTCTTTACGTCCAAGCAATGTACGGTCACGTGCAATAGAAATAGAACTTGCTTGATCTAAAGTTGATTTGGAGCGTTTTTCAGTATTGAAGTCACTTACAAATCGTAAAGCAAGTTCTGTCGATGTAAAGATAACTTTAAGTAGGCGAGGTTTTATAGCGTTTTTGCTACCCAATCTGAACAGCTTGAGTTCTGATGGCAACGATAAAGATAGATTTCGGGTCAAATCGCTGAGTGATTTCTTATCGCCTGCTAGTCTAACAGATGATAATGTTGAAGAGGATTCTGGATGCCCCCGTACAACTGCGTTGTACGAGCGTTTATCGAGATTGCCAATTCCTGTACAAGTTACAGCACGACATTGGAGTTATAATCGATAGTAGGACAGTTTTAATTTGACTCGAGGACAACAACGCGTTCGGTGAGTGTATCAAGTTTATTCCGGAAAAAACCATTTTCAGTCTTTAGATCATTAACCTGGGAGATTAATTAATTTATGCTCACATTTGAATTTTAAAATCGCTTTTTTGTGACCCAGATAAAGTTTTGCATTGTGCTAATGTTGCATCTTAAGTTTTACGGATATCGAAAATGACGCTATGAAATTCACCCTACGAGAGGGGTTTGTTAGGGTAGAATAATTCGATCTAGTTACAACATGCGAGTTGGACGCATTTGGAGAAGTTCCACTCATTGTAGATTGATTATGTAGACTGAGTGTGTGACGTGAATAAGCAAGGATGACCTTGACACGCTTCCGATTACTTGGACTATTATCGCTGCTTATCGCTATTGTGTGCGGCCAGGATCGAAATGTGTCGATAAGGAATATATAATATTTTACCTTATGCCTAGTTTACACAATGCGTAGTACTTGTCACTTGCACTAATCCCACACGTGTGTAAATCGATATGAACAGTGCTTAGTATTAGTAAAACGGCGAGTGCGAGTGAATAAAATGCCATTATATTTACTAACGGCAATTGACTCTTCCCACCACGACCCTACTCCACTCGCGGTTGCAATAGCAACGAGTAACCGCTTGGTGATAATGCTTAGTGCTTAGTAGTAGTGATAACAAAAAATATGTGTTATCACGTGTGCGTCGAATGTTAAAATGTGTTAATATGGTTTATAAATATTGATTGCTATTATTAATATTTCTAATTACATCTAATTATTTTATTAAGTCTAATATATTGAAATGTCATGAATTGTATTTAGTTTTTCATATAATAATAATTAATAATATATTATACACTTCTAATAAGTAATAGTCACTTTAATTATGATCGTATTTATTATTAATTCTGAAATCTAATATTGTTATCAATGTTTACCTACTAATATCAAACATCATGTATAAATACTAAAAGCTTAGTGCGAGTGCGAGTGCCGTGTGGCGGCTCAACGAAAGTGCAAGCACGAGTGTTCAGTGCGATTGACAAGTACTAACAATTAGTACTGAGCATCGTGTAAACCCGGCCATATTTCATTCGTCGTGATGGAAAAAATATTTCGAGCAATCAGATACAACAACGACACCTGATCGCACGCGCATAATATCAAATCATTTTTTCATTCGAAAAAAAAATTTAATTTAAAATGTCATTTAAATAAAATATGCCAAGAATCCCGGTACACGTAATTGTATATGGAAATTTAAAAAAATACCGATTCCTGTTTCACTTACCTGGAACGAATTTAATTTATATCTTGACAGAACAGTATATAATATTATGTACAATATTGAACTGAAATATAAAATTCTTGCTCTGTGTGCGTTTACTTGTGAAAATTCGAGAAAACCACGTGAGTCTGCACGTGAAATTTTCGTCAAAAGTCGAATTCTCTAAGATCGCTTCAGATTCGGAAAGGTCACGGGCGTTATTTCTATCGGCAGTCCGTATCGACACTGATTTCGGACCATTGATGTGCGGGGGAAGGGTAGAGAAAACCTACGGTCTATCTCAACACACGTATTTCATACGTAGGTATAATATTATTCGTTTGTGCGGTGGAAAATCTGGAGGTGACGGCGGCGGCGGCGGCAGCGGCGATATAATCCCACGCGCACACGCCGCACGATATTCGGTTGCGCACACGTGATGCGATTTTCAACTACCTACACTCGTTCGCGAGATACTACAGGAGCACGCGCATAAACGAAAATCTAATCTGTTTTATATTGCTTCCGTAATAGTCCATAGAATTCTCATTAACCCTCCTCCCTCCCTATTATGAGTGTCCCCTACACTTAACTCTCGGAACGCGCACGCGAGAGAAGTTAAACGGATTTTCGCGAGGAAACCTCAAGACTCGTAATTATTACAATATCGTATTCGTCAGTCTTCTTCGTATTACGTATAGGTTGTGGTGTATTGCTATCAGCGGATTGGTGGTTTACACAAGCACCCTCCCCCCCACCCGTAACCATCATTACAAATGGCGATCTTATTATACGGCTGATTTTGTCGTATCTCTGGGCCAAGTGTACATATATATATATATATATGAGGTAATAACTGAAGGAATTTACCGTTTTTAAGTCTCGCGCGTAGCTAAGTAAATATAGAACGTATGTTAAAGTATTATAAAGATGTGCTTTAAGTTCATGTTCCCAACCCCTTCCGTTCGATTGTTTGTGCTTTTTCCATTGCAGATATTTAGTGCGTAATTTGTATGAATCGATACGTCCAATCCGAGAATTCGCATGACATTTCTATCCCGGGAAACCACGGTTGATCAAAAATACTTTCTGAAATTATTCAACGGTTTTACCCCCTAGATTTTTCATCTCTCAAAAATTTATTTTCCTGTAGTAAAAAAGACCCGAAGCGTTCGCGTGTCGTACATCAGCAGATACGTACTTTTGTATTGTAAAACCGACGCGTCCCTCGCTCTGCTCAGAATCTAAAATTGTTTCATAGTGTATTGTTAAAAGAAAAAGCCCGTATCACTTCGGGGTCTCCAAGCAAACGGACTTGGCAGCGACCACAATCCTTCTTGGTTACACAATCGATCCTGCATCTTCCGCGACTTTCAATACGCAACAGTGGCCTACTTATGGCCTGCACTTTATCTGTTTATTATTGTATTTTTACTTTTAAATAATCACGTGTACGCGTACGAAAAATGATACGACTTTCCGAGCACGCGTTTCGGATGTCTGTGAACAATTCGCACGAACGAGGATAAATTGATTTTTCGTGCGATTATCCGAAAACGCGATCCGTTCGGATCGGGAGACGACGGATTCTAGAAAAATCAGATGCCGTTTCGTCGGCAGAATGACTTTCCCGTTGACGACACCATAAATCACCACTACTTTATACTTATGTATACGCACACACATACACACACACACACACACACACACACACGCGCGCGCGCGCGCGCACAAGTATCTTTCATTCGGATTTCGGGGGGTGTCGGCTTGAATTTCAAATCGCAGCGCTCCGAAAAACGCCGTTTAATTAAATTTACACTTTAGCGCAATTCCACAGCCATTGCAAGGCGATATTATTCATTTGAGAAATTATTTTCGTCCCACTTGTTGTGTCTCGTCGTTCACGCCACCGCGCCGTAAAAGTGCAATATATATATATATATATTATATTATTATTATTCGGGGTGAATAATGCTCTCTCACTCTCTCTCTCTCGCCGTTGATACGCTTTACGAAACGTTTTCGTCGTATACCAGTAATAAAATGCAAATGTTTTTATTTTATTTTTTTTTTTTTTTCATCGCACTCGCTCAACACAGTCGAAATGACGTATGTCACGGAACGAAAATTTCGTAATTATAAAACGTACTAGACAATTTAATTTAATTGCGATCAAAATGAAAATACCGCAGTACGCCATTGCCACTGAAAATTGATTTTCTGTTACAAGTGCCTTTTTTTTTTTCGCGTTGATTTATTAGGCGCTTAGAAACTTACTATTGATATGTTTTTAAAAATATCATTATCCGTCAACACGGTTTCCGAGTGTAGGCGTATACGAGAAAGAGACACTCGCGCATGCGCACAAACACTCACACACGTATGTACGGTACAATGGCAACGAACATAAACAGTGCGTGCAGTGGCCGTTTAAAATTTAATGATCGACGGGGTGTTCAATAAATAGATCTCGAGATAACGTTATAACATACACACGAGAAAAAAAAAGGAACGATGTTTTTTTATTGTCGTTTTTAATATTTGTCGATAAGATATGAGTTTTCCCGACTGAAAACCGAAATCGAACGGGATGCGTGCATTTCGGCTACGTAAAGGTTCCGGGCTACACTAATTTTTTTTTTTAATAACATTCCGCGTACGGTCACCACCGATGATTGCGGATGACACCGGGGAAATTAGACACATAATAGTTTAACATTTATAATAGACCGACCATGCGTCGCATTGCATAATTAATATGCGAAGGAGAGACACATAACTCGTGTAGTTAACACGTGCACGCAACGAGAATATGAATCTTTTAATATTCCTTAACAATAATTTAGATTGACAACGTTTTTTTGAATTTTATCACGATTGTAGACAAACGGTTACTGGGCAACGACTAAAATGACAGCAAGCGAAAATATTTACGATGAATCTAACTGCTTAGTGCTGCTATCTAACCGTATAACGTGTGACATTGAATATAATGCTATTGTTAATTAATATGTGTTTATAACATGATGATCAACGTAACGTTTGATACTCATAATCTCGGAAAGCATTAACTTTTAAGAAACTAGTAGCTCCAAAAACTTACATGACCCTTTTGTTGTCACCCTTATTTTAGGGGTTAAAAACCACTACCCATTTTAGATTCTGAGTGGAGTTTCTTAGCTTGTGGTTTTACAAAGAGGTTTATTTTTGTTTTCTGTGGACAACTTTTCTACTAGAAGACTTGCTTCGTTTTCACTAGAGAGGTATTTCAACGAGGTCATTTTTCGATTATCTCCGAAGTTTTATCAGCAAATCTGAAAAATTGGGAAAAACCACAGGAAAACCGGGAATATCGGTACAAAATTAAACATATATTATTAAAAAAAAATATGGAGAGCTTACCTAATTATTTTAATTTAATATGTCATATATATCGCTAAACAAAACACTACTATCAACTGAAATCCGCTCAGAATCGTTTTTTACTAAGCAATGGTTTATTGTTGCTTACAGGTATACAAGGTATGCATTAAAGTACCTATACCAGTAGCTGCACCCGTCCCCATTATCCTAGGACATCTTTTTGATTTTCAAACGACAACCTATTCGGCTATGCGTATTAAAAATGCTATACATATATGGGGTATTAGTTAAACGTAAATTTGGTGTTGAAATTTCAGTCAACCAGTTAACGAGGTATTGTTCCACTTTATAACTTCAGCGGAGGCAAGAGCAGTAGTGTATCATTTGTGTGGCAGCACGGCGCTCGGCGTTTTAATAGTGCTCTAACACTCTCCCGCTCTCCTAAAAAGTAAAATATCTCGTTAACTGGTTGATAGACATTTCAACACCAAAACCGATGTTAAATAATACTCCATCTATTTATGGAATTTTTAATATAGTTGGCCATTTGGAAATCAGAAGTAGGTAGTGATTTCAACCGTTAAAATTAGGGTGGCAAAAAAGTGTTATGTAATATTTTAGAGCTGCAATAATTTCTCAAATGTTTGAATAGCAAATTGCG